TTCCATTCCTATTGCTAGTTTGTATTTTTATAATGAAAAGGGTCTTGGATGTTGTCATATGCTTCTTTGTTTGATGATGTGGGGTTTTGTCCGTAATTCTTTTAATATGGTATATTATTGATGGGTTTTCATATGTTGAAACCAGCCTTATATTCCTGTGATAAATACCACTTGTCCATGGTATGTAACCCTTTTTATGTGTTGCTAGATTAATATTGTTCGTACTTTGTTGAGGATTATTGTATCTGTATTCATAAGGAATCTTGGCCTGTAGTTTTCTTGTGATGTGTCTGCCTGATTTTGGTGTTAGGGTTGAACAAACATCTAAACTAACTAACGGATATAATGCATACATTTCTTGATGGATATTAGAAGCAATAGTATTTGAATATATTTCTCAGGAAGGAAAGGATTTTGAAAAAATTCTATGACTCCCTCCATTGAGAATCACCAATACTGGATAAACTTTATCTTTCAAAGTTTTTCCATTAAAACCAATATAAGGAATCTGTGAAACTAGAAATACTGGTGGATATCATTTAAAATTGCACCCCTCTTTGCTAGAAACTGTATTTTTTTAACCCTTGCAGCTTCACTAACAATCTGTTAAATTCCTTTACAAAAAAAGATTGAAACCCTTCTGTACTTGCACAGTGGCCATGACGACCATGCGTATTGCTCCTGGGACCTTCCTGTAGGTGTATTACTTTTGTCTTTCGTTTGCCCGTCAGGCCGAGTCATCGTGTCTCTCTCTCGACTCTTCTGCCCTCTGTCCCTCCTCAGCAGCAGGGCATCTCTGGGACTTATTTCCACATGACTCTCATTGTATCTGTTTTGAGAACTATACTATTTGCATATTTTCACACAATATATATATACAGACTTGTAGACAAGATCTTCAGAGCTCTTCCGTTTCTTGAAAAGACCTCATTTTTAGGAACTGTTTGATAGGTAGAAAAGTAGTAGGTTATCGTTTACTGTACTTGCATGCAGTTAGGTTTATATTAGGCTGCAGTCACTGAATATCACTGGATCATATACATGACTATTCTCATATCAATAGTTTAGGGGAAATTGGCTTGATTCAGCCCAAAGCACCAGAACTTTTAACTATGAGTTATATGTAAATATTAATATTAAGCTATCAGGGAGGGTATTTTCTTCCCAGTAGGAAAGCCTCCTGGGAGAACCACACTTGTTATAAGATTCTCTAGTGGTATCAAACAGGAATAGAAAGGGTGCATTTTTGGTAAATACAGTAGTAATTCATGCTTTCCTCAAAAAGGGACAATTTCAGGTGGCATAAGAGGGAATGAAGCAAATTAAGTTTATAACAGTACAACCCAGAGATAAAAACTGTTAATTAAATAGTCTTTCAGACTTCATAGTTGCACATTTTTAATAAAAGTCTGAGCCTTTAAGTTGGCATCATGTGTGAAGAGGGTGGGTTTTATCGGTAGGAAGCCTGTGTTAAAAATTCATGTTCACTACTTATTAAATGATCTGGGTCTCGCTTTTCTTGTCTGAAAGCCTGCCTCATAGTTTTAATAATTGAAAGAGATGATGTCTATAGACAGTATTCGGTCTAAGTGCCCAGTAAATGCTGGCGCAGGAAATAAAGGGATATGTGGAAAATGTAGATTGGCAAGGTGGAAAACATTTCTTAGGTGTAAAAAGTCTGTAACTTTTCAGTCTTTTTTTAGCTTCTCTCATACTGTTGTCATAATGGCATAGTTTATAATGGCTTGAAAAATTATAGGAATGTGAATTTGTTTTCCTAAATCTTTAGTAATGTTTGACCAAAAGGAATGTTCATTTCAAAAAACTGATATAAAATATTTAAGCTTCTTACCCCCTAGTAAATCTAGATCAAAAAGAAAGCAGTTATTTTAAATTTTTCTTGCACGAACAATAGAACATAAAATCTGACTAATTTGGACACACTGATTGGGAATTTGAATGCAGGATTAATGTGTATCTCTGTACTGTGAATCCTGTTCGTTTCTGAGTCTACAGGAAGTAAAGCCTCATCCAAAGTTACACAGTGCTGAGGATGTGGGTACCAGGGTGTGGGTTTCTTGAGTCCCTGTTCCTGGTACTTCTTTCCACCACAGCCATCTATACAGCAATCATAGACTACTTACAAATAATTCTTATCTAGTCATTGAAACTGTTCGGACAGTAACTCTTGTTTTTTAGGTAACTTGATTTGACATTAATGTATGTTGTATATACCTCTAAGTATTTTTAATGATGGTTAGAAATAGTGAGGATATCTGCATTTATCTTTTACCAACAATAGTGATATTGAGGGTTAATAAATGTTTTGGAGCACTTTGAGGATCAGACATTTTTACAAAGGAAGAGTTTTTTTTTTTTTCTCATATAAAAATAGATTTGGGGTGTTTACTTGCTCATTCATCTAGGTTATCAACTTGTATTTGCCCTGTAATGATGAACACTTAGGTATGTTTTAAAATTCTTTTCCGGGTGATTTATAAAGTGACATGTTTGTGATATAACACAGCAATGTTTGCTAAGTTGCTTTGGTCGTGTCCAACTCTTTGCAGCCCTATGGACCATAGCCCACTAGGCTCCTCTGTCCATGGGATTCTCTAGGCAAGAATAGTAGAGCGAATTGCTGTGCCCTCCTCCAGGGGATCTCCTAACCCAGGGATGGAACCCAAGTCTCTTACATCTCCTGCATTGGCAGGCGGGTTCTTTACCACTAGTGCCATCTGGATAGCCCAAAGTTATTCATAGGTTGACATTTTCTTTTTCCATGTGTATTTATTATTTAAAAACCTGAATAAGAAGGTGATAATGACTATGGTGGCATTTATAATAACAAAAATAAGAGATATTTGACATTAAGAGATATTTATTTTATGCTGTATGCTATATTAAATGTATTCTATTCATTATCTTACTGATGAAGAATTTTGTTAATTGATTATGTCACTTAATCCTTACAACATCTCAGTAAAATCAGTAATGATCTCAGTAAAATAATTTCTATTTGTATACATATTTTATAGAGGAAGAAAATGTAGAGGTGAAGTGAGGTGCAGTGTAGAGGTGAAGTGTAGAGTGATTTAATGACCTGCCTGAAGTCACATAACTAGTATGTTATGGAGCCAGTGTTTGAGTCGAGGTGACTGGACTCCGGAGTCTTACCTGCTTTGTCTGTGTAAGCTCCTGTTGTGTCTGTCTTAGATAAGCTACTGTTGTGGGGCACAGGGGGAGCCTCCAGGAAAGAATGTTACCAAAGACCAACTTTGTTACTGTTTTTCCCTACCTTCTTGCTGAAAGAAAGAAAACTGCACTGGTTATTAGAATTGTTGCTAACAGAGACTTAAAATGAGCCCTGTCCCTGTAGGTTTTCTAGATGCCTACCCATTCTTCAAGACTCAGCTGTCTCTTACAAAGACTTTTAAAATTTTCTCCAGTCTTTTTCCTTTTCTAAATTCTCACATTGGTATGGTATTTGTTTTAAAATTTACTGATACTGTTTTTATGTGTCTTATCTTCCTAGAATTATGGTGTTTTCTAGTGGGACAGGGCTTAAAGAAAAATCCATGCCCCCATTTTCAGGTTTTTAAATTCATTCTACTAGGTTGAGTTGTTTTTGTTTTTATTTTTTTGTTTTTGTTTTTGTTTTTTAACAGTATCAGCTCAGTGAGTGTTTGCTGAATGTCAGAAAGCTATTAGCATTGCTGTTATTTCTTTATTCAGTGTTTGTTATTCATGGTGTAGATGGACTATTTCAAGTTCTGGTCAGGTCGCAGTTGTGCTAGTATATTGGCATAGTAGTAGAAACTAGTTGAATAGGACAAAACTGATGTGGGTGTTTTAGGCAGAGTTGGAGCAAACTCGAAATAAAGAAATTTTAATAGATAGTTGAAATCAGAGTTTGAAAACAAAGCTGTAAATCCTATATAGGATGTTAAATTAATAGCATTCAAATCAGATCATATTTAGGAGGGTGGAATAAATGTTCCTTAAACATAATAAATGTTGAACCCCAGGTTATGTGTAGCACACTTAATGGGCATTTAAAATATCTTAATCAGTACTCATATGATATTTACTAATAGGAATTTAGGGCTTCATAATAATATCTAACATTTTGTAGTTCATATATGTAAATTTTCCCACAAAAGTACCCCTAACACTAAAGGAAGTTCAAACACATTAGAGGACCTGGGGATCAAGACTGAAGTAGCCCCTAGATGTGATTTTTCTTTATTGCCTCCTTCATCTTAAAAATAACCATTTAAAAATGTACTCAAGAGTATATCCATATTTATTTTACTATAAGAACACTCCCCGATGCCAACTGTCCACAGTCCAGAAAGGGATGAACTATGTTTAGCCTGTGAGTTCAAGAGATCTTGGGCCTCCTGCAGAGGAGGGTTGTACATAATTATGTTCTCCTTGGGTTGTACATAACCTGATCCTGAGACCACAGGCCCTTGGTTATTCGATCCCCACGGTGGCCTGTGACCATGGGCCAAGAGCAGACTTGCTAGGTTAGGCTTTGTCCGACTCCTTACTATTAATAAACATTATATAATAGTGTAACATGTTTTTTTTCTTTGACACCTAAAGTTTTATGGCATTGCATTTACCTGCTCCTAGAGGAAAATAGCTTTCTGGGTAGTATAAAGGCTATTTCCTTTTGTTATTAGCTTTGTAGGAAATGTTTGTTTCAGTGATAGCCAGGTTAGGTTACAGTTTTGTGAAGTTTCTCAGAGATCTCTTAAAAGCAGAGCCGTGAACCTCATCTTTTTAGTTTTTAGTAAAGTTTTAATTTCTTAGCATGTTTTGAGTTAGTAGTTTTTTTCTGTTAAGATATTTTTTCTATTATTTGAATATACATATATATACACACACTTTATCTTAAGGCCATTTTACTTTTGTAGGTAAATAAAAATGTGGCAAATAAAAAGGGGTAAGGTAATGTTCTAATTTCAGATCTCTTTTTTTTGCATCTTTAGTTGTCGACCTCCTCTACTGGAGAGACATTAAGAAGACTGGAGTGGTGTTTGGTGCCAGCTTATTCCTGCTGCTCTCACTGACAGTATTCAGCATTGTGAGTGTAACGGCCTACATTGCCTTGGCCCTGCTCTCTGTGACTATCAGCTTTAGGATATATAAGGGTGTGATCCAGGCTATCCAGAAATCTGATGAAGGCCACCCATTCAGGTGAGATGTCTGGAAAACAAGGCATGCATTGGCAGCACTACAAACAGTCTCAGTATTGACTGAGGCTAATCTCTGCTATTTGTAGAGTTACAGGCATGCTTTTTTTTTTTAACTGCTAAAAGATAATTGCAAATTTTTGCTAAAAAGCTTTACCGAAAGCATCTGCTTTTTAGATTTCCTAATGGTCATTTCATAGGCTCCTGATGGAAAAGACTGGGTTTATGGATCATTAGCCGTAGCCTAACTCCACTACATGTTAGTAATATTTACTTATTAGAAGTAGGTGTTGGTTACCTAATTTTACTTTAAAGGAAGCTATGTCTTTTTAACATGTTTGGGATTGGCGAGAGTTGTATTTTCTTTATTGATTACTCTTTATGCTATTTGATACTATGCTTTTCCATCGTGCTTCCTCACTACGTCTGTCTTTTCTTACCATTACTTCCTACTCTGTCTAGTTTCTTCTCCTCCTTCCCTAAGGCATTACTTTGGTGTATTATCCTTTGGAGAACTACTTTCTTTCACCATTTTCTTGTCTGTAAATTATCATCATCTTACCTTATTTTGACAAGTACACTAGCATTATATTTCTGGTTGCTAATGGGGTGGACACACCTCAACTTGGATCTTCTGATCTCACTTCATACTCAGCACGTTCCCCACCCTCATCCCCTCCTTTAAAAATTAAGATAAATATAATTCACATACTGTAAAACTTAGTGGTTTTTCCATATATTCATGGATTTGTACAACCATCACCATCTCATTCCAGATATTTTTGTTACACTCAAAAGACATTTTGTACCTATAGCTGCTCCCCACCTGGCCCCTGACAGCCACTAAGTTTTCATATTTTTAAATGAGTCTTTTATCTCAGACTTACCAGTTTCTATCACTTAACACCACTGTTGTCCTAATTTCAGCTTTCCAGTTTTCATGAGACTTGATGAGACTATAGACATTACTACATTTTACAGAGGAAACAAAGTATGAATTCAGTAATATGAAATTGCAACTTCAAAACAGCAGTTATATCATGCCACAAATCGTAAAGGAGTATGATTTTTAATTAGTTACACTGAAATATATAAAAACATTGTCAGGCCAACAATTCTAAATCATCTATAAATTTTACATATTGTTTGATTTTAAAGAAGACTTTTAAAAGAAACTAACGAAACATTATTGTTAGCTCAAAGGCCTTTTATAGTCATAAAGTAAATTCATCTAACATGCCAGTTTAACTGCCTTTCGGACAGTTTTCCAAGTTCTTCAGTCACATTAGTAAAGTTAGTATCACTGTGGTCTTTGGGAAAGAGTGACGACTGTGCTGCCTTTGCAGTAATAGCACATAAATGCCAGGTGAATGAATGTAAATATCCTCCGGTGCAAGCCTTTGGGCCTGCTGGGCAGACGTCTTGTCTTCAGCAGGAACAAAAGCAGTGGCACAGAGAAACAGAATACAGCTAAAGTCATGTCAGCCACTTCTCTATATTTCTTAAAACTGCACTAATACATTTTTGCTGGTTTAAGGGTTAGGTGTGAATGTTTGACCATTTTTAACTTGATAATAATAACTTGATATTTGTTGGCCAATAAATAATGAAGGACTGGGAAGCCTGGCGTGCTGCAGTCCATGGGATTGCAGAGTTGGACACGACTGAGCGACTGAACTGAGCTGAAATAATAGTGTCCTGTGCTAGACATTGTACTAATAAAGGTGATGTTCTTAGTCCTTGACAGTTTATACTGTAGTAGAAAAAAATGTCCAGGTATACACATATCTATATTTTAGGATGGATATAATTACTATAAGAATAAGAAAAAAAGAATAATACAAAAGAAAGCATTATTTGAGTTACATAGTAGGGTGGGGGAGAGGCCTTCATGTATGGGTGGGATATGAGGTGGTGCTGACTGACTTGGGTGTGCCGTCACCAGAGGTGAGAGGAGAGCTCTTTGGATGGGGAAAAGTGCATGAGGAACAAAGCCTCCCGTTAAGGTGAAGAATGTTAGATGAATAGCTCAATTTTGAACTACAGCATAGTAGTGAGAAAGGAGATTGGAAGCATTCAGGGTTGGAAAGTCAGAATCATAGAATATTTGAGTTTGAATGGATTCAAGAAGTCTGTTTCTCTAATTTTGTAGAGGTGGAACCATGACCCAGAGAAGTTACATGCCTTTGCAAAGTTAAATACCTAGGTGGTATCGAGTCTTCTGATTCCTACCTGAGTTCAGCCTAAATAGCACTATCTAGTATAGCTCAAAAAGAAAGGAATTCAAATAAATCCACTTAAATTATAGTGATGGCATAGTGAATAAAAATAAGGAGATATATTTGGGCATATTGCAGGAGTAAAACTAGGAGACAAGGAATTACTAGAGAGGACGGTAATTTCCAGTGTAACTAGTGTCCACAGACATGGGGAGTTTTTGAGAGGGACTGGATAAGGAGCTGCTTCCAACAGATAAGGAAGAATAGCACTTCTGATTGCTCCAAGATGTTTGAAACAATAATGAAACAATTCCTGCTGACTTGACTGTTTTTCCCCATTACAGTTGTCTTCTTAAATTTGACAGTTCCAGCTATTTCACTATAGATTGGAGCACCTGAATGAACAGTCCGGGGCTTGATTTATTGGTGTTTTCATTCCAGTATTTTTGCCTGGAAATCCCATGAACGGAAGAACCTGGTAGGGTACAGTCACATGGGGTCGCAAAGAGTCAAACCCGACTGATCAACTTCACTTTCACTTTCTTTCCCCTAAAGATTAGGCGAAGAGAGTGTAGTTATTTGGAAATGAATAGGATCTTTGTTAGGAAAAGTTGATAACATTTTATCCACCTGAAAAAACCAAATCCACAATAATAACTACCATTAATTGAGTGCTTCTTTGTCCTTGATTGTGTTAATAAGCACTTTACGCATTGAAATCTCAAGATAATCTCTGTTGTATAAATGAGGAAATTGAGTTAAAGGGATGACTGAACTTCTAAAGTTACACAGCCAGGTTAGTGGCAGAGCTTAACATTCAAGCTCAGAATCAGTCTGACTTCACAGCATATGCTTCCTTGCTCTGCCTGTGCCTTAGCAATCAATCACGCCATGCTTGGTGAGTTTACGCTGTGCTTGTTCATTTGGAAGGAGTATGCTTCTGTTTTATTAACGTGCTCCTTTATGGATATCTATTTGCCAATTGATTGACATTCACAAAAGTCATTCCAGTCAGTGACAGTTAAGATGTGTCTTCTTTTCTAGGGCATATTTGGAATCTGAAGTTGCTATATCTGAGGAGTTGGTTCAGAAGTACAGTAATTCTGCTCTTGGTCATGTGAACTGCACAATAAAAGAACTCAGACGCCTCTTCTTAGTTGATGATTTAGTTGATTCTCTGAAGGTAAGTTTATTTGCTTTCCATTTTTTGACATACCCAGAATTTAACATCAGAGTTAAGAGAATAAAACTCTGTTTTTTATATTAAAGTAAATGATAAAGATGTAATTAAATCATTATTGTTAACTTCTGTTCTGAAATTCAGAATCAAATAAAATATTTAAGATGGAGGAAAAGCAATTCCTTTTTAAAGGAAAATGTTATAAATTCTAAGTTTTGGAAATCATAAAGATTAAAAGTGAGAATTTTGTCTGTAAGAATAGAGATTATCTAGTAGATTTAATGCCAAATATTACTTCATCTAGTTTGACTTTGTTTTAGAGTCTGGCACATATATACATATAAGTTATTTCATATCCCTACACTTTTTTCAAATGTTTTCTTGAAAAGTGTTAATATTCTGAAACACTACAACTAATCATCAGTTGGTAATCTTTGGAATTTAGTTTTCAGATCTTGCTTCATAGCAGCTGTTAGTCTCACCTTGTAAGTAAGCTTGCGAGAGTTCAGACTGATTCTAAATGAGCACTAAATTGGTCACATAATGTGAACCCCAAGAACTGGGACTACAGTACTTCTCCTTTGTGTAGAACCCACTGTCTGTGTTTTGTGTATTACTGCCTGTGACTTAAGACAGACTTGTTTCATATCTAAGCCTGGGTAGAAATGTACTATGGTAGTAATTACCATAATTTCTCTTTTCTAAGAGATACGTACAAGTTTGCAATTTGTTGTGCAAACCAAGGATGTCATAGCAATGGGACGAGTGAGCCTTTAGATTTGGCAAAACAATTTCTGTGGTGGTCAGAATAGGTTTAAATGCTCAAAATGCTTTTAACATATTATCTTAGTCTTAATAGGCCAGTAATGGACGTTATTTTCAGCTGTGTGCTTCTCTCAGTTTATTAAGACTTGGAACCTCAGTTACTAATACCATTAATGGTAAAAAATTGAGTTTCCTTTTATTATTTATTATCTCTTTTGTGTAGAGTGCTTGCATTTAGTGACCCATTCTGTAGTAGTGCTTTAAAATAATCTGATGTCAGTCTGTAAATAAAGAGATCATGGTTATATCATTGGGATCTTTGATTAGTATCAAGAGGAAACAAATAATATTTGCGAGCAAATCAAATACAACCTTGTACTCATGGGTCCTGGAAGAAGCCAGTTTATTCATTGAAGTGGTATTTGTAGTGAATAGCTTGACTGCTGGGGGTAGAACATGTGTGAAAAATTATTGAGGGGAATGCACTAGTGTAGTTTAAAATGAAGGGTTTTGTGGGTAGGAGTTGATTGAGAGGAAACACTAAATAGTGACACAGAGGTTCAAACAGCGTAGGGCCATCTCTGAATTCGGCAGTCAAAAATTGCTGAGGGGGAGCAGAGGGCTTTGAACAAAGGCATCATGAAGCTGGATGGAGGAGTCATTTTTTTTTATACTTATTAATAAAAACTGCAACAGATATAAACTCAAAGTCCTCATGTTTGCACTGTGTAACAGTGAAGGCAGTTATGCATGTCTAATATTTTTCTTGAGAAGAGGCATTCTTGAAGAAATCTGTTTAAAACAAAACAAACTGATCTGGGAATGACTCATTCATTGTTTTCTAGTTCTTACAAATTAGAGCTTTAAGTTTCCCCTTGTCTTTAATCAGTTGAAATCTATTCTTTCAGTTTATTGTCATCTATACACAATTCTCTGTGTAGACAGTTATGTAGGTGTGGAAATATGTGCAAAGGCTAGGGAAGTGAGAAAATATTACAGGAGGACTGATTAAATACTTTAGAAAACCTTTAAAATCTGATTTCCACAGATATTTGAAAGTAGAGTAAAAGGAAATTTTATTAATAAATACTTTTATGAGATAATTTCTTTTTGCTGTTAAATCTCATTTTAAAAATTTCCTTTGAAAAGTACCTTGGGTTTTGGGGGGTTTTTTAATGAGGAAGCTAACATAAATGAAAGAATCTGAACTTGGTAAATTCTTGCCTTCAGTGATTTTGCTGATTTGAAGGTAACAGGAAGTGGCATATAATGAGATAGGTTACTTTTTGGAACGCTTAAATTTTATGAAATTTTATTTTAAAAATATTGTTTCTTAATATTGGGGGGGAAAAGCAGTTGAATTAGAAGCCTAGTTTACTACTGTTTCTCCATAAGGATTAGGAAAGAGAAAACTTTTTTGAATGGTTTTCCAAAGTAGTGTTTTTTGGCAAGCCCAGAGCTCAAGAAAAGCTGCTGGGTGACTTCTGCTGAGGCAGATACATTCAGGGCTCCAGATAACATTTGTATTAACACTCTGACTGATCCTTGCATTGAGGTCTCAAAATCTGTTGAGGCAAGGAATAAGGCAGGGTGTCTGTCCTATTCTTGCAATACAAAGCCCTCTGATAACATACATGGAGGGTCTTCCTTGATCACCTTTGTGGTTCTGCTGTGCATGGGGTACTTCAGTTAAACCTTTGCTTACATCGTTGTGAGTGGTTAGTGTAGATTCCACTTGTTTTCACTGAGTTAAGGGAACTACAGAAACATAGGATACTTGCTTAATATGTCTTACTGAGAAAAGCGGAGGAAAACAACACTCTTGTCTCTCTTTAAAATGACTTAATAGTATTCCTTTTCTAGAGGGAGTTCTTGAGTGTTTGCCACTCACCCCCATAGTTTTTATTCATATAGAGAGCATTTTTTAAAAGATTATTTTCCTTCTGACTCATTTACCCTTTGCCTTTTAGCCACAGCAGTTAGTGGGAGAATCATATTCTTCCTCCCTAGAGCAAGCAAAAATATTTTTTCAGATCTCTCTTTTTTTCTTTCTCTTCTTCAATGTAAAGGAAAAATAAACTTGCTTTGTTAAATTGATTGGATTTCCTTTTATTCAGATTTTAAATTTGGAAAGTTTGCTAATAAATAGCCCCAGTCTCTGCAGTTTCCAAATGAATTTATCTTGTTAAATAACAGAGTTTTTAAAAAATTTATAAGAACCAGCTTTTGATTGGGATTACTTTTATTTTATATCATTCATAGCTAGGAAAATGGACACCACATTAATTTTAAGAAAGTACAGGAGGAAGTAGTCTCATTTTAATTTTTTTTTTTTTCATTTAGAAAATAGACATTGTATCAAGCTCTGTGGCTTATTTAAAATAGTAGCTTTTTAAAATTTGAAAGAGGTTTCTCTGTAAGTCACTATCTTTGTAAGTGTTCCATGCCCTAAAATTTATATAATCTACATTTCTAGATTCTGGGTCATAATTACCACTACTTCTATTTGAAACCTTCCTCAGAAATTACAAATTTTAGAGTCATTATTCTTAGCATGTGAAATTTTTCTTCTCCTTTCTTACTATCATATTTTTGGAAGTGTGTGAGAGGGCCTGGCTATTCTATATGTTGTTCTGAAGAAATAACCAAAAATAACCAAACCCCAAGGTTCATCAAGCCTCTTGGAAAAGATTTGACATCAGATGGTGGTTATCAGTGTGCCTGGCCTACATCTCCCTTTTGGTGGTTGACTTGGACAAATAAAAATAAGACACACCCTGCAGATTTCTCCTTTTAAATTCTTGTGTACAGCTGACCCTTAACCAGTGTGGGGATCAGGAGCACTGACACCCCCTGTGCACACAGTTGACGGTCTGTGTGCAGTTTACAGCTGGCTCTGCACGGCCCCGGTTCCTCCTCATCTCGTCCAAGGCCCCTCCGTGTCTGTGGTTCCTCCGGTCCCCCTGGTCCCATGTTCACAGGCTCAGACAGCTGAGGACCCTGTAGTGTTTACTACTGAGAAACCTGTGCTGACAAGTGGGCCTGTGTGGTTCAGACCTCTGTGTTCAGAGGTCAGCTGTAATTGCTGCATTTGTTTTGTTCCCTCTCAGTTAACTGCAGGCTTCTAAATCTTAGAAAAGATTTCAGGTGTCCATAGATTGAGAAACAGTTCATTTACCAGAAGACTAATTCTAGGCAAATATTATGGGCAAAATCACTGACAAAATATTTCTAATTCCATTCAGTAGGATTTATTCAAACAGTATAAAATTTTACCACAGGCAGATGTTTTGATCAATCCTCAGGATTTGTTGTAAAGTGGGTTTGTTACATTGAGTGCCAGATATAAGGTAAGGGGAAGACAATTAATGGAAAAGGAGGTAAAGGAGGAGGGTTCTCTAGTGAAAGTGAGCTGTGAAGCTGTGTCTGTTTCCTTTTCTTGGAGAGCCTAGTGTGTATTACCTTACTAGTTTCTAAGGAGTCCAAAAGAGGCTGGATAACTTTATTTAACCTAGTGATACTTGTCAACCTTGTTTAAATAACACCCATTACTACCAGAACAGTAGTATAAGATGGTTGAATAAATTTAAACCACCTGGTTAAGGTTTAATTCCATTCTGTGACTGACCTTCTGTGTAAGGGGTCTTTTAGATGGGGGCTCTTCTTTTAAAACAATGGTTGTCAGTCTTGGCTGCACATTGCAGTCACTGGAAGCTATATAATCTAATGATACTTGGGAAGGGGAAGAGGTGGCAGTCCCATTCCCTGAAATGATTTAATGTTTTAAATTTAATTTTTCTAAGGACACTGCTTGGAGAGTCACTGGTTTTAAAGGTTGTGGTTTAAGCTGTAACCCTGGGCTATAGTTTTCTTCCCACCCTCTTAATTAGAAAAGCATGTGAAGGTCTCCACTGGGCTCAGCTTTACTAGGGGGTTCTGCCTTTTGAAACTTCAGATCCCAAGAAAAAGTCTAGTACTTTCAATTCAGTTCAGTCACTCAGTTGTGTCCAACTCTTTGTGACCCCATCGACTGGGCACGCCAGGCCTCCCTGTCCATCACCAGCTCCTGGAGCTTGCTTAGACTCATGTCCATTGAGTCAGTGATGCCATCCAACCATCTCATCCCATCCTCCTCTTCTCCTGCCTTCAGTCTTTCCCAGCATCAGGGTCTTTTCAAATGAGTCAGGTCTTGTGCATCATCAGGTGGCTAAAGTATTGGAGCTTCAGCTTCAGCATCA